AAAGGAAATCAGTCCTGAATATTCATTGGAAGGACTGATGCTGAAGCTGAAACTCCATCTGAGTTGGCCACCTGATGCGAAGAACTGATTCCTTGGAAAAGACCCTGATGCTGGGAAAGATTGAAGGCAGGAGGAAAAGGGGACGACAGAGGATGAGATGGTTGGATGACATCACCGACTCGATGAAGCTGAGTTTGAACAAGCTCTGGAAGTTGGTGATGGACAGGGAAGCCTGGCGTGCTGCAATCACGCCAGGGGGGTGATTGCATGGGGTCACAAAGTCAGACACGACTGAGTGACTGAACTGAACTTAATCACGTTTTATAGTTTTTTTGTTTCTCTACATAGAGTTTCCACATTTCCTGTTATTCTTATATATATATATGCACACACACACACACACATACACACACATACATATATTTGATAGGTTTTGTTCATAGGGTGAAGGTGGTTTTGGTCTTTTAATTGGAGGAAAATTGCTTTACAATGTTGTGTTCATTTGTGCCATACAACAATGTGAATCAGCCATAAGTATACATGTGCCCCTCCTTTTCGAACCTCCCTCTTATCCCCCATCCCACCCCATCCTTCTAGGTTGTCACAGAGCCCTGGGTTGAGCTTTCTGCATTATGTTACACAGCAACGTCCCACTAGGTACCATTTTACATGTACTAATATATATGTTTCAATGCTACTCTCTCAATTTGTCCCCTTCTCCTTCCCTCACTTTGTCCACAAGTCTGTTCTCTATGTCTGTGTCTATTCCTGCCCTGAAAATAGGTTCATCAGTACCATTTTTCTAGAGTCCGTATTTATCCATTTATGATATGTTTTTCTCTTTCTGACTCTTCACTCTGTATAACACAATCTAGGTTCATCCAACTTACTAGAACTGACTCAAATCCATTCCTTTTTATGGCTGAGTAATAATACATTGCATATAGGTACTGTAACTTTTTCATCCATCCATATGAGTGTACATCTAGGTTCCTTCCATGTCCCAGCTATTGTAAATAGTGCTGCAATGAACATTGGGGTACGTTTCTTTTTGGAAAGGGGTTATTTTTAAGACAGTATAAAACTGCTAGCTCATTGCTTTTTTCATGTCCCATATTTTTCTTGTATGGAATCATCTTCTAGGGCACATTCACTAGTTGACTGATTTTCTACTGCTTGCTTGCTTTATGACTCATCTATAAATCATTATAATTTGACTTTTAATTCTGTTAAAACTCTCAGAACCATTATCAAATAAAAAATGAGTGTAGGTCTCCCTTTATTATTCCTGTGCCTGCCTCTGTGTTCCACCATAAAGAATAATTTAGTATTACTTCCTAATAGTTACTCCTTAAGAAATTTTTGACACCTCAGCATTCTCTTAGACCTGGTATTTTTCTTGAATTCTGTCAAATGATTTTCCTGCAGGTATCAGTTGATAATCTTATTTATCTGAATTATTTTTAATGAAATGTTATCTAACATCTAACTAGTTTTCAGTCATTTGCTCATAATGTTGTTTATTTCCTACTTTCTAATTATTATAATTTTACTTGAATCTATTAATAAATGTAGTGGAAAGTTCTAAAAAAAAGTTAAGTTAGTGATGATGGGTATCCTTGTTTCTGAAGTTAATAGGAATGCTTCTAGTGTTTCCCAGTTGACAACTGAGGCAGGATAGTTAGACTTAACCAAGTTCTTAAAGTATCCATGTGTTCCTATTTAATAATTTTTTTATTTAATGAAAAATGGACTTTGAACACTGAACTGCCTGTACCTTCTATGAAGATGCTCGTGATTTTTTCATTATATAAAACAATGTGGTGAACTACCTTATTTCCTAATAGGAAGAATTTTTAATGAAACTTTCCTTGCACTATTAGACTAAATTAGTTATCTGAAGCTTGATTCTTTTACTAAACTTTACTACTGATTTTTGTGTCGATTTATAAGCAAAATGAAATTAAAATTTCCTTTGCGTTTTATTGAATTTGGGTATTTTTGTTACACTCACACTTTAATAAATCATGAAAGCTCTCCTTTATCTAGGTCTTAGAAAAATTTAAAGTGCATTGTAACTAGAATTTCATTCTAAATCTGCACAAGCTTGGTGATGTGTGCAGGTGGTTTTGATAGGAGTTGACTACTTCTGTGGTAATCTGTGTAGGTTTTTTGCATGTCTGCAGTCATAGGAATTTATTAAAAATTTCAGGAAAATTTAAAATTTACCATTCTATTTGACTCTTTCAAATATGTTGGCATGGATTTGGACAGAATTCTCTCCTCCCACCTCCTTTTATCATTTTTATTAGGATATCTATGATTCTTCCATTTCTTATCTAAATTGTTTTATCTATTTTAATTTTGCACCAAAAAATTAACATTTAGGTTTATTACTACTGACTCTATATCTTTATTTCATTAATTTATCAATTCTTTTTACTATTTTTTAAAAGTTTCTTCTTTCTAACAATTATGCTGAACACATTTGTCTTCATTACTTTTGGATTGGAGTCTGTTAAGACAAAGGGAAGTGAGGAATTAAAGAGGTTAGGTTATAAATGGGTAAAGAGAAATGGTACATACCCAGAGGTGAACATTTGGTCTAATGATTTTTAAGACAATCATTTTAAATATATATATTATTTAAATTACAACATACTTGTTGATGAGCATCATTTGACAAAGAAGGAATTTATGGTGCAAAAAAGAAAGGGGTTAATTATGAAAGTTAAGTTCTTAAGTAGGCAAGAGTATAAGGCAGTAATTGTATACATACTTGACAGTTTTGAGTAGGTGGGCAGTTCATCCTTTGCAAAAGAAGGCGTAATTTTATTTGTAGAAATGAGTGTGGTCACTGCTGATGGCTTACATATGGTCTGTGCTCATAAATCAAAAATGAGTTCAGCCAGCACAGTTGTCTCGCTAACATTTTGCAGCTTCTTGAATGTACTCAAGGCATAGGCACAGTAAGGTTCAGGTTTAACTTGGGTTGAGGCTTTGCCAAGTAAATGCAAAGAACAAAGGCACACACAAGAAATTCTGCTTAAGATTTCATGAGGTTCATGACCATACATGGTGGAAACTTTCTGCAAGAAGAGTCAATAGCACCATAATACAGAACAACATGAAGCAGGGAAATGGACTTTTCTCATGCTCTTCAGAATTTGATACTTGTGTCTAACAAGAACAGTAGGCTGAAGCTTTGCTGGGCAGGATGACAAGGGCTATCATCCTCACCTCCTTGGTCTAACAATTTCTCCTTGGCTTTTGGACCAGGCTTTGGGATAGTATTCACCTCTATGATCTTTCTTCTGTTGGAAGGTGTTAATTCAAATCTCTCAGGGATGCAAGTGCCGTGGGGTTTTTGTTTTTCTTTATTTAAGTTTATAAAATACATGCTTATAGAAAATTAAAACATTATAGAAATATATGAAGCCAATCATGAAAGTTCTCCCATAATTCCACTCTCACAAAGCCACTGATAACCATGTGGTGTTACTTCCCTATTATTTTTTAGAACATTAACAAGTTATCAAAAAAAAAAAAAAAAAAGCTTGTACAACTTCCTTTTTCATATAACCGTAAAATTTGGACATCTTATTATTCCAGAGATATTTCTCACCCTTAATGGAGAGAAACTGAAAATACCATAATATATCAAGCCCTTATTGTTAGGACATCTGGGCTAGTTTTAATTAAAGAACAAAGGTGAAATGAACTTGCTGTGTACACTTGTCAGATTATTCATATTAGGTAGCTTCCTAGTAATTTCATTTCTAATGAAGAGTTGGCCAAAGAGTCGAAGCATTTTCAATATACTCTGGAAAACTACCCTCCCTAAAGGCTTAACAACTACATTCCCACCTACAGCATGCAAGTTGGGACATGTATATTTGGAAATGTTTATTCAAAATTATGGTTTAATTTCTTCATTTGAAACTATAAACTGATTTTTCTTATAATTGTGTTTTCTAACTATAGAAAGTGAAGTGTGATAAATTTTTTTGACTGATAGGGAATCAGGATCCTAAGGACAGAGGCACAGGCATCAAAAACTTAAAACTTTTCTATGGAGTCTCTGCAAAAGACTGCAACCCTTGCTATAGCTTCAAATAATTGGTATCTCCAGTTACTTCTCCAGAGTCTGATACCTATATCGGTAACCTACTGCTTGTGGAAAACTGAAACTCAAGCTTTCCCTGCCACCACCAGCTGTTCTCATTCAAGTGCAGCAGACAGCTCTCTGTTCCTGGAACAGACACCTCTCATATGTCTGGTTTTTCAGTTCACACCATGCCTTGGAATACCCTTTCTTACTGTGACCTCTCAAGACTCAGCTCAAATACCAGTGACTCCATGAAGTCTTCCACAATCTTTCCCAAGGAAAATAAATGGGTTTTCCCTCTGTGTTATCCTGGTTTTTCACTGGCACTTCTATGATAGTATTTCTGTAATAAGCTACTAAAAGTGGAAGCCTTAAAGGACAGACACATCTTATCTGTATACTTTCTGAACAGTACCTAGTGCAGAACTTTGCAGAACATGCACTCAAAAACTGTTGGTGAGATAAACATACATAAGACTTCAAAATCCTTTAATCCCAAAATATCAGTCACAGATACCAGTATTTAAGGGTTTAAGAAAAAGATTACTCCCCTCAAAACATGTCCTACTATAGTAAGCAGTTCTGTAAGTTAAAAAAAAGGGGTGTGTTTTAATAGAAGTGGCAAATCATTCTGTTTAGGATAGTTATAGTCAAAAAACCCACATATGCTTGATATCTGCATCTTACTTCCTAGGATCTCAAACTGTTAATTTTAGAAATAAAGACATGGGGGAGGACGGTTCATTGTGAAATATGAAAATGCAATGATTCAAGCATGAGTTTTTGCTTTATATTCTTAGCCAGAGCACAAATGACTGGATATTCTCATCAACGCCAAGCTAAAAAGAAATAAAAAAACAAAAACTGGAACCACAGTGAAGACAATGTCACATCAAAATCTCTTTCTCTTGATAATTTCTGGCTTCCAGCTGACTGGATGAGTTTCTTCTGTCTAAAAACAGAAACGTAAGTAAGTTAAAACAAAGTATTACTGGTCTCCTTCATATTTAATAAGTTCTTTCTAACAAAAATAAGGCACTTATTCTAAATTATATTACTTGGCATTATATATTTAGCAGTTCTTTAACAATTTTAAGAGAGGTGACAAACTTTTGGCATTATCTGATTATCTAGTAAATATTAAGATAAATAATGTTTAATATTAAATATTTAATATTAAATAAAATTTAATAAAGGATGCATGCATTTGCTACAAATTCAGTTTATAGTTTTTCATTTTAAATCAAATGGTTTTTACATATTCTAGTAACACCTAAGATTCTGATTCTAAAATTAATTTGCACAGCAATCTATTTTTTTGCTGTTATTCTTAAGGTGAGATTTTCTCAATAACTCTAATAATCAAAGTTGAGATAAAAATCAGAATTATCTATGGATTTGCCATCATCCATGAAACCAATGCAATAATCTATGAGCAGGGACTATTTAACATGACAAATATTTTAGTGTTATGAAGATTATTTCCCCTCCTGATAATTTCAATAGCTTTAAAATGAGAAAATGCCTGGAAAATTGGCAAAGCTGATTTATTCTACTTTAAAATATCTATGAAATATAGAACTTACCGCTGTATCATCCTCTTTGTACACTTTTATGGTTTTATCCGCTTCAGCTGTTAGTAATCGACTTTCAGACTGATCGAAAGCACAAGCAAATATTCCCGACTCACTGTCCAAAGACCCAGGCTGCACTGCTGCATGAACCCTCTGGAAATTGTAGCCAGTTCTCCAGTCCCAAAGATGCATAGTGCCATTGTCAGCTTAAAGGGAAAGATACAGTTAGACCAAGGGTCCCCTCAACAATTCAGCTTGACAAACACTCATTACACCCATCATTAGCCAAGCACCATGGAGCTATAAAGATATATAACACACAGGCATTTGAGCTCTTCTTAATATCAATTTGTCTACTTTCATTTGTGCTTAATTCAGAATTTATTACAGATCTCAAAAAGCACCACAAAATGACATTCAACTTGAAAACACACAACCAAACTTTAGGTGATTTCTGGCATAAATCCTTAACTTAGATTTATCAATGTTGGGAAGTTAAAGAGAACTTAACTATGAAATATGCTATATGTATTATGAATTTTCATGAATACACATGTAAAACAGGCAAGTTCTAGTCTAATACGTCAGTATAATTAATGACTTAGAAAGTTTATTCACTAAAAAAAAAAAAGACTGAAACATATTTATCATAAAAATACTTTACCTCCAGATACAAGCACTCCATCAGAATTTACTGTCAATGTGTTAATAATAGCATTGTGACCAGAAAGATTTTGAATGAAACTTCCATCGGGGAATTTCCACTGTTTTATGTTATCTGGAGAACCAGACGCAAATGTGTAACTGAAGTAAGAAAAGAATTAATAATAAAGTAAACAAAGTTAAATGGTGGATTTTTAAAAAACCTTATTTATGGCTATATTTTGCATGTATCGTCAGGATCTACGTAGTTTTGGCAAAATACTATCGTCATACCAAGATAAAAATATCAAGACAAAAACATTTGTTTCAAGTTATATCAGGTTTCTAAATTACTTTAAATGTATGTTAAGTCCTAGATTGAAGTTATATTCTCCTCTCATTTCCCCAATGCTCTACACTGAACTAAAGCAATAAATATACAACCTCCTAAACTCACATGAAAGGCAAGGGGTGATGTAAGTGTTTTGGAGAAAGCGAGAGAGAAAGCCAGAAGAAGAGAGAAAGAAGAAAGGAGAGAAGGAGAGAAAGAGGGGAGAGGAAGAGAGAAGGGAGTCAGGGAGAGGAGAAAGGGAGTGAGGGAAACAGGGGACAGAAGGACAAGACAAAATAAATGCAAGGGAGGGTGGGGGAGGGAGGAGAGGCAGGAGACCACTGTGACCTTGGAAGTGCCAGGGGATACGGCTTTATAGACAGCAGTTTCTGATGTTATGCTCCATCCCTCTGTGAATAATGTTCATGATACCTACTATTTTTTTCCTATGTACATTAATTTCTTCATTATGAAATTAACTATTCTATGTTTAGCCCAGTGTCCAATATTTTTGCCCAAAACATTAAATCTAGTGACTATTAGCTTTGATTACGACATGCAGCTTGTCACCATGATTTATTCGTATTATCTCATTTGACATCATTTTTCACCACGTAGAAAGTTTTTCTCATCTTATGGAGGACAAGAAGAAAAATACTTCACAAGGAAAATAAAGGAAATGCAAGCTCATAAATGGAACAGATCTGAAAAATGACTAAATTAGACTACCAAAGTAGTACTAATTTTGCTATTTCTAAATTATACTAAGAATTGAAGGAAGAAGAGAAGCTACTTAGGAAAATATACTTACTGTCTTGGATGTAAAACCACAGCTCTGACTGATTTTTTGTGATTTGTTAATGTGACTCTTGTTTTTCCAGCCACCAAATCCCATAATCGTATTGTAGTATCATGGCTTCCTGTAAGGAGAATCCCCAAAATACAAATTAGAAAAAAAGAATGCGAAAGTTAAATATAATAAAACCTGAAGCATTCTTCTACAGACACATATATATGAAACAAAAGTCATATCAACCTTTGACTAATTGCTTTCTATACTTTCAAAGTATTTGGTTGATTTTAATTCTTAAATGTAATTAATGCTTAGTGCACTGTCATCTGAAGAGCCACAACAAAGGTGAAAAGAAATACATAATGTTATTCCCTAGTGGAGAGGAAGGCAAAAACTCTAATGATTATTTAAATAAAACAAGGGAAGGAATTATTTTCTAGTCTTAAAGATTCATTGCTATTAACCATATTTTAAGCAAAGCAAGACTCAAATCAATTCTAAAAGTCAGGGGGTAGTGCATCTTCTAACTTTAATTTCTTAGACTGGTAATTTTGAAACTATAAAACAGCACTTAGCTGTATCTAATAGCACTACTTTCTAGTCAGACATTACATGATACAAAAATTCTATGATATATAAAAGTTATGATATAAAAACAATGGAATTAAATGTTACCACAATAAATTTCAAGTGCACACAGAAACACTGAATATACAACACAAAGCAAGAATCACAGTAAATAGGAAAAGTATATAATTATAATGTATGCTGATATGAATATACTGTAAACTTGAAAAGTATGGATCATACCAGTAATAATCTGTGGTTCCGCAGCCTGACACCTCACTGTAGCCACCGCATTAGTATGTCCAGATAATGTGTGTACACTGGCCTTAGTTCTCACATCCCAAATCTATAAAACCAGCACACAATACCATCAATGAAAACAGGTACTCCTATCTTCAGGCAGGTAATAAAATCAATTCAAACATGGGAATTGACTAGAAAACTGTGTGGACCTGTCTGAATAGAATGAAGAAAGTGTGCAAATGAAATAACCTGTCACATTTCGGGGGCAGGGCCGCCCAACAGAGGACATGGTGAGGCCACAGAGCTGGGGATGAAGACTAGGTGGGGTACTGACGGGTCAAAGTAAGGCTCTTGAAATTCTCTCTCCAGAAACACAGACCTCAGGACCAAGCCAGCACCCTGCAGGAGGCATGGACGCACAGAGGGGCTCCAGTCCACTTACCCGTGCGGTTGAGTCTCGGCTACAGGTCACCAGCACATCAATGGTTGGGTGCAAATCCAAGCCATACACGGCACTCAGATGTCCATGGTAGTGCCTTATAACCTAAAAAGAAGGGAGGAGAGTTAACATTTCTGTCATTGGGAAGATAAACAGGGGCTCCTGATGCTTTTGGTCCTCAACTCCACACATACCTTATTGTACTCGAGGTCCCAGCATTTGACTTGCTTGTCCTCTCCACAGGAGAACAGGTACGGGCTCCGCGTGCTCACTATCACACCACGCACTGTGCTTATGTGCCCAGTTAATGACAGTTTCAACTTGCCACTAGCCAAGTCCCAGATCTGCATTCAAAAAATATTTTATTTTATTCCTGCCCATTATTTCAAAGCAAATTTTTAGAATCTTGATGTAAAAATTGTCTTCAAAAGTGAAAGATAAAAACATAAAAATAAAAAGTTTGCAAAATAACCTCACCACCAAAAATAAAAAAGCAGGAGAAAGAGAATTAAAAGCCATGCTCAAACTGGGGAAGTATTTGCATAGATGGCAAAAAGTTCTTAATATATAAAGGGTATTGATAGCAAAAAAATGAATACTGAGGTATTAAACTAGTGAAGGATGGCATCAACTTAAAAAAATCCTGAAAAGTAGCAAATAAAGTATCAAAAAGTTAAACCTCACTACAAATTTTATATACAGTTTTTTTTTTAAAAATTAGATATTCATTTTTACTTATATTAGTGTGCTAAGTTGCTTCAGTCATGTTCAGCTCTTTGTGACCCTATGGTCTGTAGCTTGCCAGGCTCCTCTGACCATGGGATTCTCCAGGCGAGAATACTAGACTGGGCTGCTATGCCCTCCTCCAGGGGACCTTCCCAACTCTGGGATCGAACCCACATCTCCCACACTGCAGGTGGATTCTTTACCGCTGAGCCACCAAGGGAGCCTATCATATTAGTAGGTATTTTTAAAGAAACATAAGTAATGTCCTGAAAAGGATCCTCTCACACGCTGCAAGCATAATTCACCCACTTTGGAAAATAATTGAACTTTGGGTGTCAACTTCAAGAATGTCTGACCCTTTAATACTTTTTCTGGCAAACTATAACAAAACAATACAGAAAATACAGAAAAACAATACAGAAAATTTAAAATACAAATTTTAGGCACATACTAATTACACATAAGCACTGCTTATGATAGTGAAAAATTAGGAAGCTAAAAAACTTTATGTCCAACAGTAGGAAAACAGACTACAGCATATCCAATGATAATACTATAGAAGCACTTAAAAAGATGTTCAGAGGAGGGGTGGGTAGGCAGTTTGGGATTCAGAGATGCAAACTAGTATATATAGAACTGACAGACAACAAGGTCCTAATATACAGCTCAGGGAACTATATTCAATATCCTGTAATAAACCATACATATATATATATATATGTACACACACACACATGTATACGGGGCTTCCCAGGTGGCACTAGTGGTAAAGAACTCGCCTGCCAATGCAGGAGACATAAGAGACACGGGTTTCATCCCTGGGTTGGGAAGATCCCTGGAGGAGGGAAGGGCAACCCACTCCAGTATTCTTGCCTGGGAAATCCCCGTGGACAGAGGAGCCTGATGGGCCATCTCCTTCTCCAGGGGATCCTCCTGACCCAGTGACTGATTCCACCTCTTCTCCATTGCCAGGCAGATTCTTTGCCACTGAGCTTCAGTTCAGTTCAGTTCAATCACTCAGTTGTGTCCGACTCTTTGCAATCCCAAGAATCGCAGCACACCAGGCCTCCCTGTCCATCACCAACTCCCGGAGTCTACTCAAACTCATGTCCATCAAGTCGGTGATGCCATCCAGCCATCTCATCCTCTGTCATCTCCTTCTCCTCCTGCCCCCAATCCCTCCCAGCATCAGGGTCTTTTCCAATGAGTCAACTCTTCGCAGGAGGTGGCCCAAGTATTGGAGTTTCAGCTTCAGCATCAGTCCTACCAGTGAACACCCAGGACTGATCTTCTTTAGGATGGACTGGTTGGATCTCCTTGCAGTTCAAGGAACCCTCAAGCGTCTTCTCCAACACCACAGTTCAAAAGCATCAATTCTTCGGCACTCAGCTTTCTTCACAGTCCAACTCTCACATCCATACATGAGCACTGGAAAAACCATAGCCTTGACTAGACGGACCTTTGTTGGCAAAGTAGTATCTCTGCTTTTTAATATGCTATCTAGGTTGGTCATAACTTTCCTTCCAAGGAGTAAGCGTCTTATAATTTCATGGCTGCAACCACCATCTACAGTGATTTTGGAGCCCAAAAAAATAAAGTCTGACACTGAGCTTAATACACTGTAAATCAAGTATACCTCAATAATATAAATTTTTTTAAAAAGATACTCAACTTTTTCAGGAATATGCCTTTGAAATAACATTAAGTGAAAAAAGGGATTCCTTGGTGGCTCAGCTGGTAAAGAATCCGCCTGCAATGTGGGAGTCCTAGGTTTGATCCCTGGGTTGGGAAGATCCCCTGAAGAAGTGAACGGCTACCTACTCCAGTATTCTGGCCTGGAGAATTCCATGGACAATATAGTCCATGGGGTCTCAAAGAGTCAGATACAACTGAGTGACTTTCACTTTCACTTAAGTGAAAAAAAACCTGGGACAGAATTACCTCCTGAACATGAATTTTTAAAAGATATACATTTATAACCATGGGAAAAGTGCTCAGAAGAAAATGCAGATACACATACACAGAGAAGTTAAAAATAAATTTATTCAAATATCTGACAGTAATAGGATTATGTATGGGTCTACATTCTTTTATTCTCCTTTACATTTTCCTGTTTTTTAAATAGATAAGCCTGCTTTAATTTTGTAATCAGAAGGGGAGAAAATATGAAGGAATTACTTGGAGATAGTCAGCATGCACTATCTGGAAAAAAACTGTTGTTTAAATACCACTTTCTAAACAGATACTTATTTGTGACGTTTAACTGGTACAAATTATTTTAACAGGTAATATACTTTACTGCACACTCAGGTTTAACAAATCAGAGAACTACAACAGCAGTTACCCAGAGGAAATAACTTAAAACACACTAAAATTACATGGCAAACAAAAAGTCATTTTTACTTTTTCCTTCTTTTCTTATTACCTTTATAGTTCTGTCAGCAGATCCAGTAACAAACCACTGATTTCCAGGTTCCACAGCAATACATCGAACCCAGCCAAGATGCCCACTGATCACCTATATTAAGAAAAAAAGACAGAATGAGCAAGCTCACTACACATAAGATAAAGCTGATTCAATTTCAAGTCATCATGCTTATGTTAAATTAAATCCAATCTGACTTGCCCTACCCCTATCCTCAAATGCTAAGTTTGTAAGATGAACTGCTAATTAGATTTTAAAATAAGAGTTAACTTATCTTCAACTGGTGAATGGATGAATATACAAACTGTGGTATATCTATACAATGGACTACTACTTGACAATAAAAAGGAATGTATTAATACATGTAGCAACTTAGATGAATCTAAAAGCAGTAAGCTGAGTGAAGAAACTCACCCCCAAAAGATATATACTGAATTTATGATACAACTGAAAAGCACAACTATAATGATAGAAAACGGATGAATGGTTGGCCGGGTAGGGAAAGGTGTGATTATAAAAAACACCAGGGGTATGTGTGAACTGATAGAACTTCTAATTACCCAGACTGCGGTAGTGGCTAACCAAGTTTATAACCTATTAAGATTTATTAGATCTATACACCAAAGAAAGTCTATTCTGTGATATGGTAATATGTACAGCTGTACGTTTCCTACTATTTACATTTTAATTAATAGTTGGTACATTTCAAATGTCCTGATTCATTGATTTTCTCCCTGACATTCATAAAGAACACCTCAAACACATTCCTAAATTTATTCTGCGTGCTGTCCATTCAGGAGCTTTCTATCAATATTTTACACTATATTTTATATAAAATGTAAGTATATAACTTTACTTAATGAAGTCTACTTTCTAAGATATTTTTTAAGATAGTGCCTAACCCCCTTCCCCCCAACCCCAAACTACCAGCTGTCATATATTCACTGTTTCCTCTTTATTCTAGTCCTTGGCTCTTGTTTAACTGGAAAGCAGTGATCATGTTTCCTGCAGTGCAATAATGGACAGATTCACTCACTCTGTAGAGTTTCCATGGTGGGTGCCACTGGGGCTTCGGCATTGTAGGGGCTTTTTTAGCCATCAGTGCAGAGTTCTTGGCATTGCCACCCTCCATAACAACCTAGATAAGGAACAGATGACATTATTATTAAAGATATCATATCCACAATTTCATGTTATCAATTCTAAAATGGAAAGCCAAAGAGGGGATTTATGAAAGGTTTTTTTCCTTAAATGAAAGAAAGCTGAAAAATATGTGCATACCCAGAAAATGAGTCTAAGACTTCCAATCAGAACTATATATTCTTTTTGTTAATTTTGACTTTAAAACACAAAAAATCTCATGAGGCAAAAACCTTAGCATTGAAACCACGTATCACTGTGCATGGGTTCAAAACCCAATTCTGTCCATTACCAGTTGAAGACCTGAGGTAAAAAATTAAGTAATTTCTGTGCCTCATTAGTAAAGTGGAAATAACAGCAACTGCCCCATAGAGCAATTCCAACAACTATGACAGAGTAGTAAGTGCTCAGTGTAAACTCCAATTTTTCTTTAAATAACCATAAGTGGATTAATGAAACTGCCTTTGTCACATTTTAACATTATTGATTTAATATTACAAAGGACATTGAAAGTTCCTTCTATTTATCTCCTACAAAAGTATTTCAAGACTATATAAGGGTATACTAGCTGATATAACCATCTACAGCTAGCATCCCATCCAAAAAATACTGGAGTCCGTAAACTGCCTGTCCTCAAGAGGCTTATGTTATGCCCCAAGAAGGCAGAAAGTCTGGGCAGATCCTGTGAATGGAGGCTACAGAAAAATGTGGTAGGAGGACTACAAATTCATCCACTTCATAAAGCAACTGCATAATAAACTGAGGAAGTAAGGCCTATACTTATTTCAAGTGACAGCATAATAAAGCAAACTGTATTTTCAGTCATTCTTTCTACAACTACTTTCATCGATAATAACAGCTGCCATTTACTTACAAACAGATAAATTTATATTTCTAAATGCTCATTTATAAAATACTAGTTGTATAGCCTGTGAATACTATGATGCTAATAGCACTCAACTCGAACAGGATAAACCAACTGAGAGCTTAATAAAAGACACTTCACGTCTAACACATACTAATACAATACTAATACAACCTTCAGAACAACAGCGCTTGTATTTTTAATACTCGGTAACAAACAGCAACATCACAGTATCCTCATCAAAATAACTGTCACGCCCAACATGCAAGTAAGACACAGGATTAACAGAACTTCTTTTGTCAGTTCACCAGCAACTTAAATTTTAGGGCTATGAAATATTAACAACGAGCTCAGGAAGAATCTGCCTGCTATTGCAGGAGACCTGGGTTCAAACCCCTGGGTTGAGAAGATCCCCTGGAGAAGAGAATGGCAACCCACTCCAGTATTATTGCCTGGAAAATTCCATGGGCAGAGGAGCCTGGGGGGCTACAGTCCATGGGGTCACAAAGAGTCGGACACAACTGAGCGACTAACACTTTCACTTTCAGGCTGCTATTTACTTGAAAACTTCCAAGGAAAACGTTCATTTATTTAACATTTAAGGTGAGACTCTTAGAATAAAGGGAAACAGGTATGCTCCAAAAGTTAGAAACCCACAGCATGATGTGATCTGATGCAAACTCACCGCCCCTGCAGGCTGCGAGCGGTCAGAAGCCCCAGGATGTCGATATTCACCTCCAGCAGGTACAGGACGATTTGCATCAGCTCTGAGGAAAAAGAAACACCACACTATAAGTAAGCAATGCCTCCAGTCACATGATCTGCAGGACCGACTTTTTAAAGTTTCTGTAAGCACTGGTAAAGGAAAATGTCACATAATACATAATTACAAAGAAGCAAATTTAAATATGAGAAAAAAGGTAAGCAGTAAACTATGCTTTCAAAATCTTTGTAATTTAGAAGCATAATATTTCCTACCTAGCTTGAGAAGCAGGTAATGCCACAGCTAAGGACTGTGCAGCTGATTCACTTGGCATTCTTTGGATCTTAGTGTCTGCTGTCAAAGCAACCCCTGTTAAAATTTGAAAAAAATCAACTATTTTTAGTATCTATCTTTGCTTTCATTTACATGCATTTACAATAAAAAACTGGAGGAAGACATGCCAAAAAGGAAATGGTAATTATCTCCAGGTGGTGATATTAAAAAAAATTTGTATTATATTTTGCAGGTCTTTTGTTTTTAACTCTTCTGTAATAAATATTGCCCAAAGTGTATCTCAAATTTATCTCACATATTTAATCAAAATAGCTTGGTATGAACATAGCCCAACATAGTAGTTAAATTTAATACATGAGTTAAATCTCTATTATCTTAGGATACTACTTTCAAATATAAAAATTAAGCAGTTCCCCAAATACTAACAGAGTGTTTCCAAAGGTAAATGCAAATTCCTACAACAAAAAGCACCAATTTATCTATACTTTCAATGTGGTGAATTCTGTCCTCTAAAATTACTAGAATCTAGAGATACTAAGCTTTGTGTCCTCCGCTCTGTGACTCTGGCCACTCGACTTGTGTGCTAATTCCTCTACACATACAACATAACCAGGATATGTTTCTATTATACCTGCTTCTACACTAACACTTTCAACACTTTTATAAGCTTAGTGATATTAACGTGTCTAACTAAACCTCCAGGTACTAAGCTTGTCAGCCCGGAGCAGCCTTTTGAATTCTTAGCACAGTGCCTGATGAAAAACAGGGGCTTAATTTAGTTTGCAGAATGACTGCATATGAAACTTCTGTTAATTCTTACCTAAAATGCTTTGCCTGAATAGCCGGTTATGGAGCTTATCTTGTATTTTACAGGCAATGGGGATCATATTATTGGCTCATTCGTGGAAATGTAAGTGACGATAAGACATTTTCAAATATAATAGTTCACTTACCAGGTCCTGGTGGGTAAGGATGTGTACCTGTCACCAAATATTCAACTTCTTGTCCTACTGAAAAAAAGAGAGCGAAAGAAAATTCATCAATGGCAAAATTACCTTATATACATGTACTATCTCTTTTAATGAATTAAATAGTATTAAATTATCAATTGGATTTCTTAAGGTTTCCCAACTAACCAAGTCTCAGAAATAATGTAAGTTGATCCTTTTTGTTTTGTCTTCTGAAGACATATACACAGCTATCTGATGTGAGGTCAAGAAAGCTTGGAAGTTTGTTACATAGCAATGGTGTATAGAAAGGTCATCCTGTCAAGTAATAATCCACTCAGGTTTATCTTCTAAGAAAATGGTTTTCCTGTGGAACCCTAGATTATTTTTATTCACTATGATTTTAGTACTTAATATCACCTTTCTGAATTATAGCCAAAACAGATAAATGCCCTCTCCACAGGTTAGGAATTTTCCCTTTAGTCTCCACTATGACTATCTCCATATCCTAAGAATCTCTGTCATCATCATAACACTGTTTTTCAATTTCATATAAGGAAAAAATCCACCAACCAATAATCTCACTCACTATGAGGAATGAGGAAATCAGGACTTCCACTATAATCTTGGTACAGTTGTGATTCTAATAAGTCCTTCCAGGAGGAGCACTAAACTAGTAAGATATTTTCATTTATCTATTTTTAAATTCACATTTAAATCCTGACATTTCTGACAAAGCCACACTCACCTTGATTGGCAGGATACTGTTTGTGTCCATATGAATCTGATGCACTCTGAGGGACTTTCTCTTTAAGATTTTCTTTGGAAGTAGGCATATGCAACACAGGACCATATTCATTACGCAGCTTGATTGCCATTTTCCGTTTGTGACTATTTAAAAATTATAAACACAAAAATGTATCTTTGAATACTTTAAATATATTTATGAATATAAATATATTTATAGATAGCTAGGACACAAATTTTTAAACAGCTTAAGCTTGCCTAATCTGAATGTAGACAAAGTTTCTGGTAAGATTTTAAAGTTAAACAACATTGTAAGAAATTTCCAAGTGTATTTCCATACTTTGTTCACAATCTACCACACAGCATCCATTAAGCTGAGTATATTTTGGTTTGTTAACCAATTATAAAAAACCTTCATGTTGACTTATCGAAAGTCTAAATGATTTTAAAATATATAGAAACTAATATATCCTTTAAAAAACCTGAGAGTCATATACTTCCCTTCATATGTCTAAATGTAAAAATATAGTAAGAGCTTCTATAGTAACCTTTTCTGGATATATCTAGAAAGACTAATTAAAACTAATCCAAGTACTTAGTTCAGTATTTTAGAAAGAAATCCAAGTATTATGCTACTTTTAAGGACAGCCCACTTTGTTAATTAAATATAAATGCTTGTTTGAGGAATTAGGTAGATTTTAAAAGAAGGGTAAAGGACAAAGAAGGAACACTGCACATAATGCAATCCCAGACTGGAGCTGGAGGTGTAGAACCAAAAATATGCCACCACTCAAGAATCTTCATCATACTAACGAGAAAAGATGGGAGTAGAGGTACTGGCCAGGTACAATTTCAGCTCAGCAAGGCTCTGAGAGCAGCAGGAAGCTGAAAGCACATACAAAGTGAATGATTATAAAATATAACACCTAAACGGGACTCTTCTAATTACTGGGTATTTGTAAAATGCAATTAATTAGTGGGAATTTTTCTGTAAAAAGCCAAAAAAAAGTTAATCAGCTTAAATTATGCCCAAACATCATTCATTACTAATAGACCTCCTAAGAGTTAGTATTACTCACTAATTTTTACAGGTTCCCTTCTCCCTGCTCTCATCCCCCATTATTAAAAGTTGAAATATTCTAGCAGTTGAAAACGAACTATCCCTACCTCTCTTCATCCAAAGGCACAGGTTTTCCATTATCAGCCACAAACATGTCATGGGTTCTCTTCAACGACCTGAACACGAGCGTGTGTACAGAATGTTTCTGCACCTCCTAGAAAGAGAAGAGTGTAATTACATACCTAGCTACAAATTACATACATCATGTTATAGCTCCTATAGGAGCTATAGGAGTCAAGTTCAGAGAAGAGGAGGAAGCTCCTCTTGGGCCACAGCCCCAGGTGTACCAACTGGGTGATGCCGGAAATCAGTCATTTGTTCAATAAACATTTACTGCTGCTGCTGCTAAGTCGCTTCAGTCGAGTCCGACTCTGTGTGGACCCCATAGATGGCAGCTCACCAGGCTCCCCAGTCCCTGGGATTCTCCAGGCAAGAACACTGGAGTGGGTTGCCATTTCCTTCTCAGTTCCTATTAAATGAGTGCCAGGTATCGTGCTAGAAACTAACAGAATAATGAAAAGGCAGCCACCATCCCTGTGCTCAAGAGGAAACAGATAAAAATAGGGTAAGTAACTCCACATTTTAATAAGTGCTATGACGGAAACAAGCAGGGGGCTGAGACAGAACAGAGCAAGACCTTAGGCTGGTTATGGAAGATCTCTCTGAGGTAGCAGCTAAGCAGAGAAGGAATCAGTCTTGCACAAAACAGAGGTAAGAACAATCCAGGCAGGACCTCTCAGGTGGTACAGTGGATCAGAATCTGCCTGCCAATGCGGGGACACAGGTTCCATCCCTCGTCGGGGAAGAATCCTCAGGCCACAGAACAACTAAAGTCCCTGCGCCACAACTACAGGAGCCCATGTGCCTCGAGTCTGTGTTCGGCAAAGAAAAGCTACCGCAATGAGAAGGTCCCGCATGGTAATGAAGAGTAGCCCCTCCTTCCCTGCAACTGCAGAAGCCCACGCGCCGGAATGAAGACCCAGTGAAACTGAAAAAAATCAATCAATCAAAAGAAAAAAAAAAATCCAGGTAAGAAGAAATAAGCCATATACAAAAGTGTTCTGTAACTGAAACACTGTCAGAAGCTGTAGTGCATAATGTAGTATATATAATGTACAGTACAGAAGCTGTAGAACGTAGTATATGTTCGGTGAAAAGGAGGGTTAGTGATGGAAGATGAGGTTGGAAGGACAGACAAGGTCCTGGTAAATTGTTTTTTATACCACTGCAACGGTGTGCATTTTTGTTCTAGTTTTACATAGACCCACTAAAGTTTCATGCAAGAAAAGCTCGATCAACTTAGGTTTTAAACAGATCAATTTGGGGGGGAAGGGAGAGGGATGACAAAGAGGAAGCAAAGAGACCGACCACCCAAAAGCAAACGCATCAGTGCTGATGGAAGATGATGTGTTCTGAATTCAGGTGATGACAGTGGGCCTAGACAAAGAGCCAAGACTTCTAAGATGAGATGAACAGAGCTTGCTAACAGAATGATAGTTTAAGCTAGGGGGAAATGCAAAAATTCAAGAATGGCAGGTTTTCCCGGAGAAGAGCTTAAACAGGAGACAAAGTGAAGACCAGAGGAGACCCCCAGTCAGGACAGAGTCACCGACTCTACCCAGCAGACGGCGAGTACCTGTGGTCAAACATCGATGTTCGATAAAAGCCCCGCCTAAGAAGACCGTGACGAACTCCGTACCCAAGGACCGCGTGAAAACTGGAGTATACCTCAGGCTTCCCGCCTGGAAGGGCTTCCCTCAAAGCTCAGTTGGTGAAGAATCCGCCTGCAATGCAGGAGACCCCGGCTCGATTCCTGAGTTGGGAAGATCTGCGGGAGAAGGGAAAGGCTACCGTCCTCCCAGGCCAGTATTCTTGGGCCTCTCTTGTGGCTCAGCTGGTAAAGAATCTGCCCGCAATGCGGGAGACCTGGGTTCGATCCCTGGGTTGGGAAGATCCCCTGGCGAAGGGAAAAGCTTCCCACTCCAGTATTCTGGATCCCCACTCCAGGCCTGGAGAATTCCATGGACTGTATAGTCCATGGGGTCGCAAAGAGTCGGACACGACTGAGCGACTTTCGCTTCACTTCTCAACTCTGGCTTCTCATCCTCCAGAAACCCTTACGTGACCACCCGGTCTCGGCCAAACAGCCTCCCCTCGCAGCCACTACTCTCACCAGTCCCCAGACTCCCAAACCCTCGATCGCCCACACCCGCCGCCAAAGAAAAACAACCCAGAAGCAGACGGCCCCTGAGCACCCAAGTGTCGCTTTACCTCGACCATGGCTCCGCCGTCTATACAGGCGCTCCAGGAGGGAAGAAGCACTACTCAACAGAGAGGAGGGAAGAAGCACTACTCAACAGACAGAACAGAAACCGCCGCCACCACGGCTCAGCCCCTTCCGGAATCGGGCTTCCTGGCCCGGATGTGACGCAGAGCTCCGCGCAGGCGCGCGGGGCGCTCGCACGCCTTCCGCGGGGAAGCGGTGGGCTCTTGCCCCGGCCACCTCTGGGGAGGAGCTTCTGGGCGGCAAAGCGGATGAAGGAGTCGTGTTACGATACGTTTCACTCGCTCTTGCAGAAATCTTGAGATACTAACGTTTTCTGCCTTACTCACAGCCTTAAATACTTTGGTTTATTGTTGTGGTTTCTTGCCCTTTGTTCTCTGGGATGTTAATGCTATTTCTTCAGAAGAACCAAACAGTTCTAGGGAACTTCCGCCAAGTTCTTGCCTTCTTTGAGGGGACGCCTCCGTGATTTACGTAGCCAGATTGCGCTATTTGACTCAATTTGGCTGAAAGCCTTTAGACGTCTTTGTATTCTTGGCGCCCGGAAACAATTCCACTTACACTGTCCATTAAGCACTTGTTGGAACAGTTTCAATTTGAGAAATTTTGCAAAAGATTTTGGTTTTAACAGCATGTGGCAAAATCTCAAATTTATTTTCCATACGTTTAACATAGGTTTTTTTTTTTTTTTAAGTCTCTCATAACTCTTGGCCATTTCTTTTATTTTCCACTAATACAGATTTTTTTTAAAATTTTAATCTCTCAAAACTCTTGGCCTAACTCTTGTTTGTTTCCTAGTTGTCCGGTGATAAATGTGGCTTCAACAATGCCAGGGTAAGTTGATCAAAGTTGGTAGAAGAAAAACACAACTGAAGACAAGGCATTTTTATGTATTAATATATACAGACTGGTGCCAAAAGATGGGCATTTTGTTTTATACCCAGGTAGACTCTGCAGTTTGCGATCGTTGTATCTATATTTCTAGGTAAGAAGGAAAATTGATGGAACTGTACATTTGCAAATTTGAATAGATGAGCGTTTTACTGGTTCTCCTGTTCTTTAGGCATACTCACTTTCCACGGATCTTGTCACCAGAGCACCCTGCTTTAAGAGGGAGAAAAATCTATCAAAGTATAGCAATGTGAGTTGATCATCTCATTTAGAAGTTAATTTTTAGTTCATTATAAACATTAAGATCATGCATGTATTTGAAAATACAATCATCTCTGAGTTTAAGTTTGGCTTTAAGGGCGTTTCCGTGGTGGGTCAGACGGTAAAAGAATCTGCCTGCAGTGAAGGAGGCTCGGGTCAATACATGGGTCAGGAAGATCCCCTGGAGAAGGGAATGGCTACACACTCCAGTATTCTTGGCTGGAGAATCCCATGGACAGAGGAGTCTGGCCAGCTACAGTCCACGTGGTCGCAAAGAATAGGTAGTAACTGAGCGACTAACACTTCACTTGTCCTAAACAACTGACTTTCAATAACTGTGGTCATTAATGGCAGCCCTTGCAAGGAAATGCTGTAATATAAAATATATACTTGGAAAATAAATCAGAGTATAACTTGCCTATAGATAGAAATAATTATATAAAAGAACATGATGTTACAGAGCAATAAAATTACAGAAAAGAAGATTCTAATATATCTATGGCAATATAGATGAAGAAGACGTGGTACATATATACAATGGAATATTAGCCATAAGAAAACAAAATAATGACATTTGGAGCAATATTAGATGGAGCTAGTGATTGAGTGAAGAGATTGTGCCAAGTGAAGTCAGATAGAGAAACACAAATATCATGTGATATCACTTATGTGTGGAATCTAAAACAAAGGGTACAAATCAGCTTAGCTACAAAATAGAAATAGAGTTACAGATGGAGAAAATAGACTTGTGGTTACCAGGGAGTAAGGGGGAGGGATGAATAGGAATTGACTTATGCTCACTACTACATATAAAATAGATAACTAAGAAGGCCCTACTGTACAGCACAGGGAACTCTACTCAATACTCTGCAATGGCCTATGTGGGAAAAATAATCTAGTGAGAAGAGTGGATATATGTATATAAATAACAGATTCACTTTGCTGTGCGCCTGAAACTCACACAACGTTGTATCCAATCGAAATCAAAACAAAGCAAAATGAAAAAACCAATCCTATCCTGGCTGATACCCAGAGCTGCCTTACTTGAGCAGTAGAGGTCAGTGCTGCTCTTCATAAATGTAGAAAGATTGTTTGCAAAAGTGCACATGGTGAATACTTTATTAATGTATATTATTAAGTCTGTCTGGATGAAGCCTATAGTACGGATTTTAAGGGAAGTCCCCCTTGATTAGTTGAGCTCTTTTTTTTTTTGAAATTCATTCACCAATATAGGAGATCCCTTTATTCTCTATTAAAAGTCAGTAACTTTTATACATGCAGCTAAAACATATGATGGGGGAAAGATCTCAGTTATAGCAACAATAATTGAAAAAATATTCAAGACAGAAAAATGACAGGGCATAAAAAGATTTTTAACTAATGAAAATGTATACCTTATGAAGATTCACATTTATAAATGTTATGTTGTTAATCTAATCTTGGGAATGTTTTACAGAAAATACTGTTAATTTTTTAAAATTTTTGGCTGCGCTGGGTCTTTTTTGCTTTGCCTGGGCTTTCTCTAGATGCGGTGAGGGGCTACTTTTCAGGGCAGCGGGTTCTCTCGTGGCAGAGCACAGGCTCTTAGGCACACTGGCTTCAGTAGTTGCCGCTCACGGGCTCTAGGGCTCAGGCTCAGTAGTTGTGGCCCATGAACTTAGTTGCTCTGCTGCAAGTGCAGTCTTCCTGGATCAGGGATCAAAACTGTGGCCCCTGGATTGACAGGCAGATTCCTGTCCACTGCGCCACCAGTGAAGTTTGAAAATACTAGTAATTTAATTCAGTGAAAGTGAAGTGAAGTCACTCACTTGTGTCCGAGTCTTTGTGACCCCATGGACTGTAACCTCCCAGGCTCCTCGGTCCATGGGATTTTCCAGGCACAGGTGACAGTGTTATTAAATAATGAAAAAAATGTTTAAATAAGTGTTATAAAATACTCCAAATAAAAATTTTTAATTTTCTACAGAGTTTTAGTGCTGATACTTTTATATATACTTAATATATAAAACTTTAAGTGATTTATTGCTTTGTTTGAAAACACAGCTTCTCTTTCTAATGCACAATTTATGCTTTTCTTAAAAAAAAAAAAAAAAGCCAGCTTGATTCCCAATCAGTTGATCTTAATTTTCTTTTTGAAATAGTTCCACAGACCCCAGAAGCCATTTCAGCCTAACTTACTAAAAGATAATGGGGGGAGGCGGCGGTTACTATTTAAAAGGACATCAGGTGTCTCAAAGATTTGGCAGAAGGGTCAAATTATTAAGTTCAGAAGTTTTGATGACTTCTGCTGCTGATGTTGGTAGACTTTCTCTCTAGAATGCTGCAGTAAATATACATCTAGTCAATCAACCTGATTATTTTCTTAGCTTGTTTCCTTCACGAACATGAAATTGGGGAAGAGAAGCTGATAGGGCTGGCTTGGGTAAGGGAGCTGCCCCTACTCAGTCACCTGTGGCTAGAAGGTCAAGCTATCACAATACTAACAGGACCACAGGAGATGCACTCCTGCATTTTAGGGGTCATTCCAAGAGAAGGGAGTGGCATTCCAAATTCCAAAATGGTTGTCACACCTTTGTGGTTTTGAGTCTCATGGGACAGAAGTAAAACAGCATCTGTCTTTTCTCTAGCTCCTGTGATTGGCGTTGTGTTGAAGGAAAAAATGTCCTATTGTCTCCTTCTTGCCATGGTCTATATCAGTGTCCTTTGTTTTTTTGTTGCTGTTGTTCAATCACTAAGTCATGTCTGACTCTTTAAGTATCGATAGAAATCTCCTCTGTCCATGGGATTCTCCAGATAAGAATTCTGGAGTGGGTAGCCATTCCCTTCTCCAGCGGAACTTCCTAAGCCAGGGATCAAACCTGTGTCTCCCAAATTGCAGGCAGATTCTTACTGCCTGAACAGCTAGGGAAGCCTATCCCCTTCCTTAAGAAAAGCAAATTGACATTGACCGAATCAGTAGGAGACTCTCCACAGGAGACAGAGCTGTCTTACCCTTCTTCCCTGCAGTGTGCTTTCCCATTGCTAACCAATCATGGCTGCCACTGCCACCCTGGTCTCAGGCTTGCTCATCAAAGCACTGGTCCAAGTCTTCAGTATTAATTTCTCCTTGGCTAGTGGTTCTCAAACCGTGGTTCATGGTAAGAAAACAAACAAACAAAAAGACCATACAGAGACTAACAATGATTTAATATTGTTCTCAAAGCCTGTGTCTGTCTAAACAAAGAGAATCAGTATTTCATTTTGTTCATTCAATCATTCACTCATTTTATGTTCACAAGCTAGTTCAATAGATATTTGTCAAAATCTATTATGTGTCAGGTGTCTGATATAACTATATAGTCACTCAAACCACAAGTTTCAAGTCCAAAAGCCTTTTCAAGTCATTTTTCCCTGGGAAGAAGTTTTGGGTCTGTAAGTTCCTGTTCCCAAAGCCTCACATTTCCCCTGCTTTGGCACAGGGTTTCAGGTTTAGCACATATAAGCAGTTTTTTATTTTTGTCTCCCCCTCTAAACACAAAGCTTCACGAGGACAGGACACTTGTCTGTCTTGGAGACCAAAGTATCCTTGGCCTCTAGCACAAGGTAGGTGCTCTATAAACATTTGATGAATGCAGATTGCATTGTGTGCTATAACTGGGCCTGGCTTGAATTGTAAAAATATCAACAAAAAATGCATTGATGATCAGTGCCGGCAAGTCCACCCTTCTTGCCAGAGAGATGCTGGGCAGTTCGGATTATTTCTGTTTTCTCTGTCACTGATTTACTGCCCTTGACTTACATAAGGGGATCAGCTACTACAAAGAACCCTGCCCTATTGATCTACAAGTATAACTGAACAAATAGTACTCCCTTCCTCCTCCACCAATGGCATCAATGTTTTAAAAAAATTAAGTATTTTAGTAAGCAGAATCTCTGCAAATGTGTTTCTTCTCATTGAAAATATAGAAATTTACTGTGTAATATTACACACCTTAAAGTGTTAGTATAGCTGTAACTCTGTGAAAAATATAGCAATAACTAGGCTTAAACTCATTACCACTCCATCAGTCATGCCTCTCACACAGATATGAATATCCGACCCACACTCACATAGTACAATGAATATGTAAGAGAAAATGAAGGGTAAGGATGGGAGTGCCCATCTGAGACACTATAGTCTCAAGAAAAAAATGGCTGGCCGATTCAGTAACAGCAAACCCAAAAGGTACAGGCCATTTCTTTACCATGTTTGCATTTTGTTGGGCAATATGTTGCAATGGGCAGAGTGTGAACTGTCTGGTTAGACATGGGTCAAGTCCTGGTACCAGTACACCTTGAGTTCTTAACCTCTGAGCCTCAGTTTCATCATTTTTAGAACTTAAATAAGTGATTATTAGAACTTGGCATTTGAGGCCTGTTTCAGTGGAGAGATAGTTCACTCACTCATTCTATGATTTTTTAAATCTAATGCCTACTATGTCTGTCTTATTCACCAATGTATCCTCAGCTTCTATTACACTACTTGTCACATAGAAAACCCTCAAGAGCTATTTGTGGAATGCATGTTTGGTCTCCGTCTTATGGAATGTAAATTCTAGTAGCTTCCTTCACTTTCCTGGTGATGATGGTGAGAATGCCTGTCAGAACAGAAAAGGAAAGTGAGACTGTAAAGGAATTTTCACTTTAATGCTGTACAAGGTACTGTAGTATACTAGAAGGAATTTAAAAAATTAACAGACCTCTGGAAATTAAATAATGATTCTACTGCTAGTTGATGTAATGTCAGTGTTGGAAAATGAAGTAATAATGTGATAATGTTACCTCAAAAGAAAAAACATTTTTAGTTTTCTTAACATAGTCGATCGTTTTAAATCAGCAAAAGTCTGACATCATTAAAACCCTGTCCAGATGGTTAAAATAGACTTTTTCTCAGTTACATTTTGAAGGAAAGTATTATTGCATCTTATTCTAATTACATGCACATACATACATCTGTTTTCCTCAGAGTGTGTATTCTTCTAAGAAGGTCTCTCAGTCATGTGCGGCTCTTTGTGACCCCATGATCTGCAGCACACCAGGCTCCTCTGTCCATGGGGATTCTTCAAGCAAGAATACTGGAGTGAGTTGCCATGCCCTTCTCAAGGGGATCTTCCCAACACAGGGATTGAACTCAGGTCTCTGGCATTGAAGGTGGATTCTTTACCATCTGAGCCACCAGGGAAACCCAATTAATTAGATGTAAATTTGGAATAATTCAGTCAACTATTTTTCTTATTTTAAACTCAATATTTTGATTCTATAAATCTGAGTTAAAAAGATTTAGGAATGCCGCTTAAGCTATCCAGAGAAGAAATTTATTGTCTCATTCTATTATTGGGAGTCCGTTTCCAAGCATTATTTAAAACATACTCTTAAAATCCAAACCTGGATCTTTTTAATAAAATCACTTAAAATTGAATGACAAAGGTTTCATTTTCCATACCAAAAAACCCAGAAAATGCTGTAAAGCAGCACACTTGCCAGGATTTACTCTGTTGGCTTTGGTTTTCCTATTGATTCTTGTAAGAGTTGTTAATCCTGATTGAAAAAAAAACAGTGAAAAGATAAGAGAGATGCATTTGTTAGCTTATAGGAAATCATGAAAGGAAATGGGACACATTTAGTGTCTGAGCTTATATTTAAAATAGGTAAATGAAGGCTTCCCTGATAGATCAGATACGACTGAGAGACTTTCACTTTCTTTTCACTTTAAATGCAGGCTTCACTAGTGTTAAAATAACATTGTTTTAAAGATAATATAAAAATAAAATTTAAATATCTATCCAATCACCATAATAATGATTTTCACTTAGGAATCTGTAATCTACTAAGCATTTTAACACAGTTTACAATTATTTGAAATTTTTAATGTATCAGTAAAGAACAAAATATGAAAACCGGTTACAGCAGAAAATGACTACATTTTCTTTTTGATGTTTGTCTATCATAGCATAAGGCATGAATATTAATTTTGCTATTCTGATTAATGTCTGAAAGATAAGATGAACATATGGTAATGTAATTATTGAGTTTAGTGGCCTTTTCAAAAACTAAATTACAGGGTTACCTACAAACAACATTTATGGTAAATCTTTAGTGAGTTCACAGTGTTACTGGGTGCCTTGTAAGTAGGTCCAATATTTTGTGCTCAGATTAAAAGTACTTTTTTCTTCACACATTCTTTGGGAGCCTGTGTAGCATCCACATTAATTTACAGGAAATGTAATACACAGCTTTTAGGAATGTCCCAATTTCCCATCATATTGTCCAATTAAATGAACTAAGGAACTTTGGTGTTACTAAACTTGGCCAACAGAGAACGATTGTATGACAAGTAAATAAGTCTTGCTGGGAAGATGTTGCTTAAGGGATAAAATGGTTCAGTCAACAAGTGAACCAAAAAATTAAATGTTAACTAAGGAAGGTAACCACTTGAAAAGGGATAGCTAACAGAGGATTCAGGTATATATAGGGTTGAAGATCTCTCAGTTAAGTCCAAAGCAGAGGATGATTTCTTGGAACTTCCAAAAATTTAAAACCATGAAACATCTATTACTGCTACTTTTGTGTGCTTTTATAGTTCAGGCCCAATATCTTGCTGACTATGACGAGGTGACTTTTACATATTATTATATTCTTACTAATACTATTAATATAAAATATAACCAAATCATAATTATATCTGAATGTTTATTTTAATGAAATTAGCATTGATTTTAGTTATGAAATTAAATTGTTAATTTCTAGGACCTATTTTATTTAAAGAATGTTGTATAGTATTTCTTACATCAAAAAAAAAAAATAATTTCTCATTTTCTGGTTTATCACCTTTATTTTCCCAGGTAGAAGATGACAGAGCTAAGGTAAGTTGTGTTTTTCTTGATTGTTGTTGTCCTGAGTAGTATGATTTTTATTTAGTTCTAGCAATATGTTATTACAATCTGAGAACAAGAACTTGAAAATTTCACAGACTATAAAATAAAAGAGCAGTATTTTAAAAGAAAAAAGGTGTAATTGTTGGGTAGCTGTTTGGTGAAGGAAGGTAATATATAGCTCCTGAAATTGTTGGCTATTGGTAAATGAAAACTGTGAACTAAATCTAAAAGTAAAATAGATCACATTCTGTGATAGAAGATTAAAAATTGTTCTTTTTTATTGAGAAATTTATATATTGTTATTGTTAATGGTTATGAAATATAGCACTCCATTTAGTTTATTCATAGAGCAGTTTTGCCTCAAGTATCACTCCTACTGGTTTGAAGATGTCAAAATACAAAAATACATTTAGAAAAATGACATTTTAAAAATTTAAGCTTTATTATCAGATGCCTCCTGATCTAATTACTTGTATATAATATGGTCTCTGCCACACTAAAAATAAAAGTACACAGTGAATGAAGTAATTAAATGCAGTGATTCATTTTGGATCATTTGTTGAATTTAAATGGAACCTAATATATAGCTCCAGAAATAATATATAGCGCCTTCTAATTGTCAAAGTATACATATAAAAAGATAGTTATATGGTTAAATGAGTTAGGTAAGAAAAATGTAAAGAATGTATAAGAGTCAACTTTTATAAAGCAGTAGGCTAAGCACTTTTACATTCCTGCTCACTGACTAATCTACACAGAGATAGTTTATTTATTTATCCTTCCAAGTGGATTTTCTAGTTTTAGTTATTTTAGTAAGTGGTCTTCATAAACCTTAATATCCATATAATTTCTTTTAAACATTTTTCATTTCCTTTTCTCTAGTAAAGCTAGATCACCTTTGCTACCTCTCTAATGATACTCTGAAATAAAAAGAAAGTACTTTTCTTCTGTTATAATTTGATTTGTAATAAACAGATGAATCACATTTCATAAAATTCCTGTTAGAACAGACCATCTCTGACTAGGACCATGTCTTCGAAACAATATATATTTCCTGCAAATCTTCATACGTTATTATTTTTATTGCAATTACACATAACATACTGTAGTATAATTTCAGAAATTAAGCAGGAGAATCTGGAACCAATCTGCCTAGGTTTAAAGCCTAGCACTCTCCTACTAAATGTATTGTTTCTTACTGAATAAATGATAGTAAAATTCCAAATAGAGTCATTCAATGACCTCTAGACACACCAGATAGCTAGAGAGCTTAGTCTCTGGTGCAAATCTAGTCCTTTGTTAATTTTTAATTAAACCCTGAAGATGAAAGGTGTGGTGGTGGTGTAGTTGTTAAGTTGTGTCTGACTCTGTGACCCCATGGACTGTATAGCCTGCCAGGCTCCTCTGTCCATAGAATTCTCCAGGCTAGAATACTGGAGTGGGTTGCCATTTCCTTCTCCACCTGAAAGGTGTAATTACTGACAAAGACCGTACGATGACAATCAAGTTAATCCAAGCCAGCACTTTTGCATTGTATTGCATATTTTTCACTTCACTATCTTTTAATGTTATATTTTTTAATTAGCAAATAATTTAATTGCAATGCACATAACCTAAGAATTATTTAAATGAAATAATTATTTTAAATGAGAAAATCATGGCATTTGATAAAGGAATCATGTAAGAAATTTCATGAGAATGATTTGACAATTTTGTTAATAGAAGACAAGATTGGAGTTAATAGTGGAAAAGCCACTTATACTATAGTATCTGTTACTGTTACATGTGATTGCAGTAAAGATAATAATGAGAACTTAATATGTGCCAGGCACTCCTCTAAGGGTGTCATGCAGTAAGTCATTTAATCCTTAAAATCATCTTATATAGCAGATACAATGACTAACTTTATTTTAGAGATAAAGTAACTCGCCCACAATCTTTAGAACTAGAAAGCGGTGTGGGTCAAGACTTGAAACCAAGCAGTCTGGCTCCAGAATACCTTATTCCTTTACAAACGTGTTAGAATCAATTGTTGTCTTATTACAAATACATTTGTTTTTAATAAATCCATATTGCCACTTAAGTATTATTATTAACTAAGAGCTAGAGAAATTAATCAATTCATAAAAACTAAAAGTGAAAAATAATTACTGGAATTTAGTAATTCAGGTGACTTGAGAACATTTATTCCTTCTGACAGTATAGATTTCATAGTATTTTGTGTGTTCTAATGTATAGATTTCAGGAATCTGAGTTCATTACTATTCATTATCTGATGCAGTTTTTTTAAGGACTCTTTAAAACTCCTCGGGGTACAATAGCTCTTTGCACTGTTTTTCTGTCTGCTCTTACTAAAGAGACTGAGGAACCTATTGATTTGCCAACAATAGCCAGTCAGTTGATGGTCCTTAAGCAAATCATCATTTAATAACCTGTTATAAAACGAGACTGTTAGAATACTACATCTCAAGTTTCCCACAACACTCTTCATTTTATTTCTGCCTGGTCCCCTGCAGTTACATTTGGATGCCCGTGGTCATCGGCCCTACGACAAGAGGAGGGAAGAGGCTCCCAGCCTGAGACCTGTACCCCCTCCCATCAGCGGAGGTGGCTACCGGGCTCGTCCCCCCAAAGCAGCTCTGGGCCAGAAGAAAGTGGAGAGAAAGCCCCCTGATGCTGACGGCTGCCTGCACGCTGACCCGGACCTGGTGGGTACACGGATGGCTCTGTCCGCGGTGGGCTCCCCTGTGGAGAAAACCTGTATTTATCATGTCTTCCTACTGAAGCACTGACCCACATTACCATCATTGTCATTTTGTTTGTTTCTTCTGGATGTAAATACAGAATATAAACTTACTGGGCCTTGGGCTAAGGGTGCTTTTCTAGTTTTCTTTGGTCTGTAACCAAGATTACAAATCAGGACACAGGGTGTTGCCTCTCCTTTGTACCTGGCCACTTTGTCTGTTCAGGTGGTAATACTTTCATACTTAATTACATTTGTTCTGTGGTAAGAATTATTTTTAATCTTCAGAGAATTATAATGGTGAGTCTAGAACTCCTGGTCTTATATAAAGAAAATCAAATTGCAAGTTTTTATATTGGTGAAAGATATCATTGAATTTTCACTATGTGCTTGTTTTGCAAATACCTCAACCCTGCATCTGATGTTGGCTATTTTCTTTGTATATAGGGTGTGTTGTGTCCTACAGGATGTCAGTTGCAAGATACTTTGGTAAAACAGGAAAGACCAATCCGAAAGAGTGTAGAAGATTTAACTAATAATGTGGAGTCTGTTTCCCAGACCTCTTCGTCCACCTTTCAGTATATAACTCTGCTAAAAAACATGTGGAAAGAAAGGCAGAATCAAGTAAAAGGTAGATATCCTTGTGGTTTCTGTTTGATTCTGTTACAAAATTGAAACTGTCAGAGTGCCATGGGAACACAGTTCTGAGAAGATCCAGGTCTCTAGATGAGCCTGGGTAGTTCAGTGTGAGCCTGATTACCCCAGGGTCATCACTTAGGCATCTTCACCTGCAGCTTGCTACATAAGCACTGTTCAACTCTAACTCCCAGTCTGGTGTCAGCAAGGATGATTTTCTGGGAAAATTTCACTGTGAGTCCTTATTTTTATTCTGTAAGAAACTTATGACTCTGAAGACAATATATTCACAGTGTGAAATTTTAGCATTTATGGATTTAACCTCTAACATTTTAAATATATGTGTCTATGATATCTTCAGTTGAATTGCAAATAATGATCCCATCATTTGAAACTTGAGATCTGAATTTTGAGTGCTATTGGCTTGGTGGTTAGGAATCAGCTAGTGAGTGAACCAGGCATAGGTGTCTCAGGGAGTAGCCTACCCAAATCTGGACATTTTTTCCAAGGAATCATGGCATTTCTCTTGTATATTTCTTTTGTATTTCTGCTGCAGTTATGAGAGATGGATAAGTAAATCAAGTGTATCTACTCCATAAGATGTTGAACTTCTGAGATGGAAGGCCTAAGTACTGCTTTCTCCTCTTTTCCTTACCAAAGAAATAAATAAACAACCTATTGAATGTATCATTAGGCTTAATTTTTACCTTAATCTGAGGTAAATTACTAGTGTAGTGACTAGACTATATGTTAATTTATGTATGCCATGGACAAAATAATTTTCCCTAAGTACAACTATATATCATGACTGCCCAATGCCTGAGTCTAGTTTATTCTCAAAATCAAAATCATGATTGTATAGTTGAATACATTTAGTTTTTTTGTCAAGAGAAAATGCTAACAATTCCTACACAATTTCATTTTTCCAGATAATGAAAATGTAGTAAACGAGTATTCCTCACATCTGGAAAAGCACCAGTTATATATAGATGAGACTGTGAACAGTAATATCCCAACTAAGCTTCGTGTGCTCCGTGCAATTCTGGAAAATTTGAGAAGCAAAATACAAAAATTAGAATCGGATGTCTCAACTCAGATGGAATACTGCCGCACCCCATGTACTGTCACTTGCAATATTCCTGTGGTGTCTGGCAAAGGTAACTAGTTAAAACATATTTCTAGAAGGTTACAGAAGAATTCACACTCTCTAAAAATAAGAGAACTAAAACAAGTTCAGTGGATTTTCCCCAACAGATCCTAAGTACATCTCAGCACATCATGAAGATATCCCCAGCATACCTAATGCACTCGCCAGTTTTTGAAGAGTAGGAAGCAGTGTAATGATGCTGGTAGCTCAATGGGTGTAATGTACATGCTTGATTGAATAGATGGGAACCATGGATAGATGCAGGGATTTCTCCATCACATGTGTTCTGGAAGTTTATGGTTTATGGATATCAGCACACAAAAGGTGGAGAAGGGCTTTTTCACTCCCTTGGAAGATAGGATTCCTTGAAACCGAGTGTGATTTTTAGTAAGAGGAAGCTTCAGTTTCTATAACATTTATCCTCAAATGTCTAAAATAAAACATTCCTTAGTGTCTTAGTATCTTACAAACTTGGTGACTAAATACAAAATAATGATGTTGTAGTCTCTAAATGTAATTTGTTCTCTTATGATTGCAGAATGTGAGGAAATCATCAGGAATGGAGGTGAAACATCTGAAATGTATCTTATTCAGCCTGAGGAGTCTAGCAAACCATATAGAGTATACTGTGATATGAAAACGGAAAAAGGAGGTACATGTTTGATAGCTTTTGACTATTATGCTGAAATTATTTTGATACCATAAAATGCCAGGAAATAAAACCTAGCTTAACAAAACTAACAACAAGCCATTTGATTTGGAATTCAATATATTTTAGAAGTTATAAAATATTTCTGATTCACAGTTTTGGGTAAAAGATAAAGCACTTGCAGTTTCCAGAGATTTTGCAAGTTTTCCTTTCAAATTTATTCCCTTATTAAATCTATTTAAGGGCACTAAATATCAGTGGGCATAAATTAAATGGACAAGGAAGTCAGACATTGCCCCCAAAGGGGCATTATTTGTTAGTGGTTAATATGTGCTATTTTTTTTCTTTCAACCAAAGGATGGACAGTAATTCAGAACCGTCAAGATGGTAGTGTTGACTTTGGCAGGAAATGGGACCCATATAAACAAGGATTTGGAAACATTGCAACCAATGCAGAAGGGAAAAAATACTGTGGTATACCAGGTAACAACTGGGAGTACAAAATAAGATCATTCTTTATTTAGATTTTTTTTCCATTTAAAAAATATAGTGCTGGTAGTCTGCTTTTAGGAATTTTAGGTGGTTAAGAAGAATTTACAGAAGGAGCATAAAAGCTAATGATAAGAGGGGAAAGGCAACTTTTTGCTTTCAAAGGTTTTATTTGTGGTGAGATTTTCTTTTCTTTTTCCTTTAGGTGAGTATTGGCTTGGAAATGACAAAATTAGCCAGCTTACCAACATGGGACCCACAAAGCTTTTGATTGAAATGGAGGACTGGAAAGGCGATAAGGTGACAGCACTCTATGAAGGATTTACTGTACAGAATGAGGCCAACAAGTATCAACTCTCAGTGAGCAAATACAAAGGAACAGCAGGCAACGCCCTCATCGAAGGGGCTTCTCAGCTGGTGGGGGAAAACCGGACCATGACTATCCACAACAGCATGTTCTTCAGCACGTACGACAGAGACAACGATGGCTGGTAGGTGCCGCTGCTTCCCTCCCGCCTTCAGGGCCGTGGCTCATGCTGCTGCCCGAGTCATTAACGGCAGAGCATGATTAGTGACTCTCATTTCCCGGGTGGTTCCTATGTGCCAACCACTGTACCAAGCGTTTTCTGGGTCACTCTAAAGCACTTCAGCTTCAAGGTTGCCACTGCTATCCTCATTTTACAAATGAAGAGTAGCAAGACTAAGTAATTTACCCAACATTACATAACCATAAAAGATACAACTGTAATTTGAGCACAGTTACTAAGTAGTGAGTACTTGATAGATTTCTATATCTCTATCATGGACTGTGTCTTTTGAAACCTCCATTTTGTTTCCTAAGAATCTGTAACACTAAGAGATCTGAAAGCTATCATTTCAGGATAACGTAATGAATATTGATGAATTTGCCATATGGGCCCAATTATCTCCCTTTCTTGCTATAGGGCACAGGAAGCCCTTGGTGCATTATTGTGACTTTACATATAGAATCAGAGGGAAGGAGTCTTGCACCCAGCACTACTCTGTGGGCTTTGCAAAAAATTAACTTGAGAGCACTGCAGTTAGAATAACTCCAAACACATTTCCTTTCAGGAAAACTACAGATCCCAGAAAGCAGTGTTCTAAAGAAGATGGTGGCGGATGGTGGTATAACAGGTGTCATGCAGCCAATCCCAATGGCAGATACTACTGGGGTGGGGCGTACAGCTGGGACATGGCGAAGCATGGCACGGATGATGGAGTGGTGTGGATGAACTGGCAGGGCTCCTGGTACTCAATGAAGAAGATGTCCATGAAGATCAGGCCTTACTTCCCGGAGCAATAGTACCCCACCCCCCCACCCCACGGATTATTATTCTTCCACATGTAATGACAGCTTTGTATATCATGTTATCAGAAATTTTTTTTCATACCTTATATCTCTCTAAAGCTATCAAAATGTAGTTGGTGTGACTTTTCAGAAAGTTTTCAGGACAAATAACATTAAAAACAGCACGTGGTTTTCTTTCATATTTGTCATTTCTATCGCATACCAAGAAGTAACTAAAAGGATGATTGTGGACACTCAGTGTTCAAAATTTCCATTCCAGTGGATTGTGAAAAGTTTCAAATTAGGAAGAGAAATTGAGGTGAAGTAAAATCATGTGTTTAAAATCCACTTTGAACCTCTCTTTATTTATGTAAGATCTATCACAGAAAACACAAAAAGATTTATTCATTAAACTGGTTTATATTACAAAACATTAATGTTGTCTTATTTTGTAATCCACATGGTCACTTTGTTAGGCTTTTAACCTGTGAGCGAAGAGAAGCATTCACAACCTCAAGTAGCTAATGAGCTGACAGTGACGCCCTGAAGGTTCAGCATTTCGCTCTGCTTCAGGGAAAGTCACTGCTCTGCAGGGAGGTAGGCTTGCGGATCACACAGACCAAGAGCACAGCCACAGTCACGTCTCCATTTGTTTGCCGAGGGAAGCAGTGAGGTAACAAGCAGCATTTGCCCCTGGAGATGAGGCCTACTGGCCTCAGTTGGGTTTTTGTTTCTCACACGGTCACAGCAGAACTGAAGCAGAAGTGGATTTCTCTTCTTTCCCCTTCCTGGGAAATGAGTATGTCAACTCAAATTTTCTTCCACTCTGTATTCTCCATCTGCCCTGGGACAGCCCTCTGACCCGCAGTCTTGCTTCCCTCTTGCAGCGTCATTGCCACTGATTTTCATGGAAGCGTTGTCCTGAAGCCCGTCTTCTTCATCTCTGCATCTAAGCGAATGTCCATTTCTATCATGGCAACGCCATCGCTCTCTTAACTCCTCATCATAGCCAGCCTTACCTTTTATCCGGTTTCCCTCCATAAGCTCTGCCCCATCGCTACCTATATTCACGCTGCTACTGTTATAATAAATTAATGTAACAGAGTATATTAAGTATACTAAAAATAGAAAATTGTGCTAAACATAGAAGATTCTGACCAAGTTACTTTCCTTCTTAATGTTAGCTTGTTGTTACCTAAGTGTTAAAATCCAGGCTTCTTAGCTGGGAGTGAAAATGGTTTGTTACAGTCCCAGCACTGTCTTCTGCCCCTGTCCCCTTTCACCATACATCTGCATTCTTGCCACAGTGAATTTTTCACCATTCCAGGAAAGATGAGGCCCCTTTATATTATGCTCTGGTTGTCAACAGCATCTTTCCTCCAATACCATCTGACAAATTGCTGTTCATTTTCAAGGCTTACTTTAAATGCCATTTGTTAGGTCTACTTATCTTTCTCCTTTGCTAGTAATAAGCTCTTATTAACCTTTGATTCCAGAATCATCTGTCAGAAAGTCTGATTTTTATGCATTTATAAATATTATATAATATATAAATTTATATATATTAAAAAATATATGTATTGTATTATTAAGATCTTGCTGTTCAGTTGTTAAGTCACATCTGACTCTGTGTGACCCAGTGGATTGTAGCTCACCAGGCTTCCCTGTCCTTCACTATCTCCTAGAGTTTGCTCAAACTCATGTCCATTGAGTCGGTGATGCCATCCAACCATCTTGTCCTCTGTTGTCCCCTTCGCCTGCCCTCAATTTTTTCCACCATCAGGGTCTTTTCCAATGAGGCAGATCTTCAAATTAGGTGGCCAAAGTATTGTAGCCTCAACTTAAACATCAGTCCTTCCAATGAATATTTGGGGCTGATTTCCTTTAGCATTTTCTTTAAGATCTTGGATAGACCTTTTATAATGTAGAACACATTTTCCAAAAAAAGGCATACATAGAAATTCAACATGCAAAAGACTTGAAAGTAGACCTTTTTAAGCAAGATTGAATATAGCAAAAGCCCACGGAATAAGGGATGGGGAGGTGCAATATCCCTCAGACCTTTGCTCAATCCCCTTATGCACTCAGGACTGAGTAAATCCCTAGAGTTTAAAGTAAAGCCACAGATTAAAACCCACTAAACTAGATAATCCTGTGGTCAATTCTTAGTTAATGTACAAGTATCAGAAACACAGAGATCACACCTAGGTAATATGTAATATCTAGAAAGAAGTAAGCATTCTTAAGGTATCATTTGGTATGAAATGTTACATATTTGATTTTTGCCCATTCAAGCTTTAAAATTTGAAATACAGTCAAAAGGTAGTGTCCACTAGTTAGAGTATATAAAACAGTATCTAAAAAGGTTAGCTCATGACTTTTATGAAGATAACAAAAATTGAGTTGAAATTAATAATCTCATACTTTGACATGAGAACTATAACATATTTCTTATACAATTAAGACTGAAAGTCTTAATTTGTATAAAACAAATTGAGGAGGGCATGGTAACTCACTCCAGTATTGTATTCTAGCCTGGAGAATCCCCATGGGCAGAGGAGCCGGGCAAGCTACAGTCCATGGGGTCACGAAGAGCAGGACACAACTGAGTGACTAAATGCAGCACAGCACATATAGTTCATTAGAACTATGAGGGATATATGCAATTGGGATGTAAACTTCCCTTTCCTCTGCATTTAGGAACCAAGGAAAAACAGGTAACTAATATAACTAAAGCCTTGTTTTTTTAAGATGAACATACGTGGGGCAAAAACTTGGATTATCTAACATACCACAAACCACAGCAGTCAAGCCAACACTCTGTTTAACCATTGCACACCAAATATCATGTACAATGATCATCTAAACCTGCAGAACTTATTTAAGACACAGAGTTCCTGGTCTCAATAGGTTTATTGCATCAGAGTCCCTACATGGGAAGATTGTAAAAATACATATTTTTAAATAAATGACCCAAACAGATTCTGATCAGTGGCTGGACTTCATAACAAGTGAGTCAGGCTATGTTTGCATTCTCCAGAAACTCCTGTCTTTCTTATCTAGCACTTTTTCCACTCAGGTGGTGACTATGAGGCAATATTTAGAGAAAGAGAACATCTTTGAGATTACGTGACTTCACAGATAACCACTGCCTATGTTTAAGACCCAGTTTGGCTGCAGAAATCAGATGTCTCTACCTTGGTTGGAAGATGCCCCAATCTTGTCCACCTAGACTTGAGTGATAGTGTTATGCTGAAAAATGACTGCTTTCCAGAATTTTACCAACTCAGCTACCTCCAACACCTATCACTCAGTCAGTGCTATGACATAATACCTGAAACTTTACTTGAACTTGGAGAGATTCCCACATTAAAAACACTACAAGTCTTTGGAATCATGCCAGATGGTACCCTTCAACTGTTAAAGGAAGCCCTCCCTCATTTACAGATTAATTGTTCCCATTTCATCACCATCACCAGGCTGACCATTGGCAACAAGAAGCACCAAGAGATATGGGGCATCAAATGCTGACTGTCACTGGAGAAGCCTAGATGTCTATGAAGCCTCTATTGCAAGATGGTGTCTCCTCTTTTCTTTGAACAGGGCAAGTAAGCAGGAAGCCCAATTGTGGAGAGCTCAGCTATTTTTATTCTTGGTTTCTGTTGCCTTCCTTCTACAAATATATTAGAGAACCATTGGAGAGAGAAAACTACGAATTGTTGCTTTTTAAAAATGACTATGAAAGCTTTTATCACTGCTATACCCTTAAGAGCCTAAGCTCTACGCTTTTTGAAATTTTAGGGAGAGTGGGCCTATAATTTCAAGATAACTTAAATAGCAAAATTTGAACCATGTCTTCCAAGTGCCATGCTTCATAAATCTATTTAGAATCAAGCTTAAAAATCACAACCAGCAAATCATTTGCGTAACCTATATGGCAGCTTTCTTCTATTTAATTTTTCAGCATTGCTTTATTATAAGACATAGGTTTCAAAAAATAATAAGCTATTTGTAGTATAAGTTGAAAAGAATGAGAATCATAGAGTAGATATGAAGCAGTCTCTTCTGAGGATAGGAAGAAAAATAGACATTTCAACGGTGCCTTTAGATTCGCAATCAGGTTGATGGAAACAAATATTCCCAGGTCATTCACCTTAAAACCTAAATAAAGAAACAACCAGAGGTATAGAATTGGTATAGAATTCAAAGACTCAAGAGGCAGTTTTCTATAACAGGTTAACCTGGGGTATCCTCTAATGCACATTAATGACGTCTCCTTTATGTACAGTTGGGAAGGTCCCCTGGAGGAGGAAATGGCAACCCACTCCAGTATTTTTGCCTGGAGAATCCCATGGACAGAGGAGCCTGGTGGGCTACAGTCCATGGGGTCACAAAAAGTCAGACACGACAGAGTGAATAATACTAATACTTGGGTTTAGCAACATGATCCCCAAATACTAGAACCACTATTTCTACTCTGGTATCTGTCAGTCTCAGGTGATTCTTTAGTTGGACTTTTAGTTTTTCTGAGGTGTAGCAACAAATGAGAGATGTTACCTACCTTTTTGTACATAGAACTGAAGCTGTGTTTCTGAACACTATCCGTCCCCCACACTGTGCCGTGTGATTTGATGATCCCTCCTTGAGTTTTCTCTACCATGCAGCTCTGCACCAGGTCACAGTGTGTTGGTGTGTTATGGCTAAACCCTAGGAAACGGAATAAGTTCTGTTTATTTTAACATTAATTGTTGGTTGTTGCAGAGAAGGCAATGGCACCCCACTCCAGTACTCTTGCCTGGAAAATCCCATGGACGGAGGAGCCTGGTGGGCTGCCATCCATGGGGTCGCACAGAGTCGGATACGACTGAAGTGACTTAGCAGCAGCACTGGGTTGTTGCTATTTTTTTTTTGGCCACACAAATTCGCAAGTGGGATTTTAGTTCCCTGACCAGGGATCAATCAAACCTGCATTCCCTGCATTTGAAGTGCAGAGTCACAATCACTGAACAACCAGG